GGTGCTGCGTTTTCCAGTCACTGTTGCCACAGTTTGTGCTCTGCAAAGGGGCCCAGAGCCAGCACCTTCCCAAGTACTTGCTCATTTGCACAGTGTTGGCTGAGATTGCAAAACAAGGTATTACTTGGTGCTTTTGTATTTTGGATGCACGGCTCTTAAGAATTATTTTGAAACACATGTAGTAACTTTGTGATAACTACAGCTTTTTATACTCCTTGTAAGTCCCTGTGGAGGAACCTTGTTCCTTCCAGGAGCTGGTGAGACACTGAGTAGGCAGTGACAACCAGTGATACAGATCACATTTCAGTCCCCACGTCCCAGAGCTGCAGAACTTAGCCTAAATGGCTTAAGGACTTTAACAGAATATGGATTATGATGAATGACAATTAAGTACTTTTCTTTCCTTAAAGCCTTTTAGGAGAAAAAAAAATGAAGAAAATTCTCCTTATTCTTTTGTTTCTTACTGTCATAATAGCTCTTTGTAGGCTTGCGTAGGCTTGTACTAGTGCACAGGGGAAAAAAAAAGACAAGAGAATCTTGCATAAAGAAACTGCTGAAATTTTCTTGGAAGAAAAAAGATCCCAGACTCATTGCTTACTATCGCCTAGCAAAATTATCTACTTACCAGTTTGGGCAAGAGACTGCTTCTACATCCTACTGATGATAATTGAAAAACAAATGTTTTTAGAGCTCTTATTAATTTGTTACGTTTCTATGTTCTGTTTTTCTTTCAAGTTTCAAGTCACTTGCTAGCTGCATCATGATTGAGATTTGGAGTTTTTATTTTTGGGGAAAAAGCTTTTCTTATTCCCCCCGACCACCACCATGTTAATTTACATGACATAGCCATTTAATGCTTACTTTCTTTGCTTCAGTCGGGATTCAGATCTGCAAATTCCTGTGTATGTTACCTGATGGTGGGTGCTTGCCTGAGGGTAGCTATATGTGTTTTAGTCATTTGGAGAACTGAGGTCTTTGTAATTTTCCCCTTAAATAAGCAGAATGTATGTATTTTTCTATCATCTGAGCTCATCTGAGGAGAGTACAGGTCCCTGTCCCCTGCTGTCCTTAGGGGACAGGGTAGATCACCTGTACATTTAACATATGCTCAGAGAGATTTTACTTATTTTATACTGCCCCATTAAAAACAATGACAACAAACAGGGGATCAAATGTCTGTGCTACTCCGCTCAACAGTCTTTGCTATTTGGATGTTTTGGCCCTTTTCACGGGAGGCTTTCAGGAAAGCCTGACAGTTCCTGCAGGTTAATTCTTGGGGAGGGTGATCCCTGGGGAAAGGATGTGAGTGCTCCCAGGGGGTTTGGTGGCTTTGTATCAAGTCCTGTCTGCGCAGACATCACTCCTGGTGCCTGTGCTTCTGCATAATCATAGTGTTGCGAGAACAGGCCTGGGTGGAGCTGTGTATACTGGAGCTGGGGCTATCCGTTGCTGACACCTCCGTTGTTTCTTTTTGGGATAGACATTAAGGCAACAGCTACCTCTCTCTGGGGAGGAACAGGCTAGAGATGCTGTTGCACACCTGATCTGGCCATCATGTCCGTACATGTCAGTGCTAACACAGAGCAAATTTGCCGTATCTCCTGCTTGGATATAAGCCTTTCTAGTACTGTGCATCACATTTGGAAGAGCAGTTCAAATGAGTAATCCAGACACCACAGAAGAGGTCAGCATCAGATACTGAGCCACAGTGCCTCGAATGCAACGTGGCCTACTGGAGGGGTCAGTTCTGCCAGGCTCCTCCACTTGTGTTCTGCTCTTCTGCTATCTATGCAACAGCAAGCTAGCTTTCCTTCTCTTTGGCATACTCCTGTATATAGAGTATGCTCTTTCTATAGCTTTTATGTATATATGCATGTGTGCATGTATAAAATACATAAAGTGTGCCAGTAATTTATACGGCAGTGGATCAAAGAATGCTAACATCTCCCAGATTTGACTTTTAGGCCTTTTGGAATGCCTTCCTTCTGCTTTTGGGGAACCCTTTAGTATACAGATCTGAAAGGAATATGCAACTGCATCGGTGATGCCAGAGGCATCTGATTCGGGCAGTGCTGCTAGAGAGAAACAAGAGCTTTCCTTGAATATATGTGGATAATATCAGACACGGAATTAGAGGTTGGAGAAAACCAAACTGAACAAAATGCCAAGGAAGACTGAGCAGTAATCTAGAGGAAATGTGGTCTGCAGGTGACGTGGTTTGCAACTGCACATTGGCAGAAGTCCTCCCTGCTATTACTGTGTGAAACAGTGGTTGGAAAGGCACATAAATCCATTGCTAACAAAGAGGAAGAGATCTTGTTTTAGAAATAGAAGTGAGAAAGATTCCTCCCACAACAGGCACAAGAAGTCTTCATCTTCCCACTCGCGCCACTGCTCCAAGAGCACGCAGCTCTGCTTGCTTGCTGGCAAGGGCTTGAGTGAGTTTGGGGACTGGAAATTGCAGGGGGCAAAAATGCATCTGTTGAA